TTTGTCTATGGCATGGTGTGTTCACATTTAAGAATTGTGCACATTGTTTATACACATGGAGAAAAACTGAATATAAGGCTTGGGAAAATAAATGAAGAGAATAGAACATTTTTTCAGATTATTTATATTCTTTCAAAAACCTAAATTCATGGATTGGTAAAGAATGTGAAGATACTTATATTTCTTCAAAATTTACATTCTGGATTATATAATGTCCTAATTCAACTCAGAAAATGGTTTCATATGCATATTATAAGAGCATTTTAAAACACTGACTTTTGAATTAAAATGTATTTTAGACAAAATGTAATTTTAACTTGAGATGGCTTTATATTAAATGTAAAACCTCCAAATGAATACATTCAATCATAATAATAATTTAATTTTTAATTCACTTACATAGTAAAATTGTTCAAACTACCACCTTAAGACTAATATTTTAATAAAACCAAAAATCTACAATTCAAAAATAAAAGTTCTTATGTAAGATGATTTTGTATTTTAAATTACTGAATTAGAGTGCCCTCTATTGGAGAAAAAAGCCTATAAAAACTATACTGAACTAAGAACAGCTAAAATACCCTAAAATTAAAGCCACATCATTAATATGTAAAATACATGTATTTACAATATGAATGCTACAAACATTTTTTCCTTACATTTTTATTTCTTCTAAATTACTTTGGAATTACTTGTCATATCACAATGAACAAGTTGGATGCTTCAGATCATTTGAAATTAAATTTTAACTAAACCCAAATGTTTGTTTAGCCAGTAATATGAATAATAGACAAACACAAATGTTTTTCCACATTTAATATTCCAATATAATATAGAAATAATTATAATTTAGGACTGTTTGCATTTTCAGAAAATTAAAGTTTGAATCTTCCTTGATGATAAACTGAAAACCTCCCTGCTATAGACTGAATGTTTGTGTCCCCTGCAAATTCATATGGTGAAATCCTAACCCCTTCATGTGATAGTATTAGGAGGGGGGTCTTTGGGAGATAATCAGGTCATGAGGGTAGAATCCTCATGAATGGGTTTGTACCATATAAAAAGACATGAAAGAACTTGCTTTCTCTCTCTGTTTGCCATGTGAGGATATAATGAGAAGACAGCCAACTGCAAACTAGGAAACAGGCCCTCACCAGACTCCAGCTCTGCTCACACTGTGATCTTGGGCTTCCAAGCCTTCAGAACTGTGACAAATAAATGTTCATTGTTTAAGCCAACCAATCTATGGTAATTTGCTGTAGCAGTTCAAACTAAGACACTCCCTAAATCAAGGGACTTTTAGAAGCTCTTATACTGGGGAATTGGAGAAGTAGGCTGGACACTAGAAGATCTACAAGATTTATTCTATATCAAAAAATTCTATAGTTTTGTGGTTTTATCAAGACCGCAGTTTTGACTCATCATCTCAGGCCTGAATTACTACCTCCGAGAGGTCTTGATGGATTTTTGGTTCCCTAGACAAATAGTATACATATTAGAATAACCTGGGAGCATTTTATTTCATTTTATTTTATTTTATTTTATCATTACACAATGTAAACATTTTCTGTGGCCCTTTACCAATTTTTCCCTAACCACCCCGCCCCCCCGCCCCCAACTGGGAGCTTTTTAAAAGAACAATGCTCAGAGCTACCCAAAATGATTTTGATTTAGTTGGTGTGGAGTGGTAGCTGAGGGTATCACTATTTTTTAGGCTCTCTCCAGGCAAGTCTAATGTACCACCATTGCTGAGAATAATTGTTTGAGTTTCTCCCCAGAACATCTAACACACAACTTCCACTTTCACCTTCCAATAATGTCACCTTTGTGAGAATTCCCCTACTTAAGAGTTTATTCTCCTTGGCATCAATGTTAAACACCTGAGTAGCTTCCCAACCTATTTATCTGTGGTGTGGTAAAGGGTATGGCTCCAGCCCCAGACTGCCTGTGTTCAGATTCTGGATCTGTAATTACTGTGTGAACTTGGGAAAGTCATAAAAGGTGTCTGTGATTCCATTTTTCTCATCTGTACAATGGGAGAAATAATACTACCTATATCATAAGGTTATTGTGAGGATTAAATCCGTTAGTATGAGTAAAGTGCTCTATAAGTATTAGGTATTATCACTACTTATCCAAATTTACTTTCCACTTCTTTTCAAAACCAACTCTCATGATGAACCATTCTCTCCAAATTATAAACTAATTCCCACCTCTGTGCTTTTGTACATGGAATTCTTTCTCATTCATTCATTCATTTCAACACAAGCACATCTCACATTTCTCCAGGACCCCTTTTAGTGTCTCCCTACTTCTGTGTAGCCTTATATGAATACCTATAAATCTTCACTGATCACTACCTTTTTAAAAATTCCTTTGGCCACAGGGGAGCTTACTAATGAGAAATGTAGTTTGGAATTTTAAATGCTGGCTCTGAGTTTGAATCCTAGCTCTGCCACTTGCCAGCTGGGTCATTTCTTAAATCTGTATCTCCATTGTTAGGATTACTTAATAGTGGCTTAAATCATGTACATGTAAAGCATTAGAATAGCAAATAGCAAGCACCTAATAAATGTCAATTCTATATATTGTTTTATGTTTTAGTCTTGCTGTACATTGTGATTGAAGGCTCCTTGGGATAGGCATTTTGAACTCCTTCAAGTTAAGAACCCTGATCTTGTATTTCTATTAGAAAGTCTATAACTCAAAATATGGTAACAACTATACTTGATTAAACTTTTTGCATAATTTGAGAGTAGAATTCACAACATTACTTTGGAAAAACATTTTTGATGAATGGAAATAAATATTCAGCAAAACATGGAATGAATTCACACAAAACACTGGCTATAGAAAGGAGTCAAAGTAATTGGATCGATTACTTTTTAAACATTTGACAACAAGTTTCTATCAAATTTATCTTCTGAAGGGCTGATTCCAATGATATCTTTTATCTGCCCAAAATCCTTTACATTTTTCTCATTTCTTAAAAAACAAATACCAAAATTCTTAGCCTGACATTCAAAATCATCCACCACCTGACCACAATCTATCCTTCTAATCTTATCTCTCACCTTCCCCTTTGTAAACTCTATTATTCCAAGTAAATAGAACTACTCGCTCTTACTCATATACGCCATCTGCTTTTCTGCCTCGTATAACCTTTAATATTTTATATGACAATATTTTCAAAGAATGTTATTATAAAGGTTTGTCACAAGAACAAAGAATGTTATAGGAAAGTATAAGATTGAATTTCAAGAACAAGTTAAATTTATACACATTAATTTCTCTCTTGCCACTATAACAATATAGTCTTTGGCTTATCAAAACAAACAAATGAACAAAAAAAAACTGGTCTATTCCCCAAAGTGTGTTACCCTCTCAACATCAAAAGCCCTTGTCAATTACTTCCTGAAAGGTATAAACTTGTCATGGTCTCCAGGCAGCATGTACAGACCCTAGGGTGCACAAGATAATCTTTCAGTAAAAGAAAAAATATTAGAGCTTATATTTTACACTTATTCTTTACCTTCCTCACTTTGAATTTTTTGGAGTATATATACCTCATAATTTACATCATATATTGTTAGAATAATAGTAGATATATAATTTATAAATAAATACAATTAAATACGGTACATTTATAATTTATAAGTTAATACATTAGAAATACTTGCTCAAAATTTGGTTACTAATGGTATAAACAATAATAAAAGTTTGGAAAACACTGCTGTAGAAAATTAGGGCTTTCAGAAAACCTGTGGGTTTAGAAGTAGAGGACCAGAAGCTGCCAGTTTAGAGAAATCTTCAGGGACAGATCTAAAAACCTAAATACCATATATTGTTTATGTGGGACAAATATGTTTTAAGTTCTAACTAATTTTCAAGGAAATGTTAAAATGTAACTGATTTGTAATTTGGAGATATATAGCATATACCTGTTTTAGATAGGGAATTTTGATCTGACATTAAAACTACAGCTATAAATATTTCATCACTATAAAAATTTCATTTGGTGAAACCTGTAAGCTTTCATTTCGGTAATCATATAAAGTTATTAATAACTATTCATAAAAAATTTGTGTTGGGGCGAATAATGTCATGTTTTACAAAAGACAGTGTGGCAAGAAAACAAAATGAAATAGAAAAGCAGGCCTAGGAGGTAATTCTAGGCAGGGAACTAGATAGCAACTGCTATCCTGGGAAACTGTCACACCTCACTTTAAGTAACTAAATGCAATAAATGTTCTCATAATGGACAGTCACTATACTTAGCAATTTTTTTTGTTTTCTTAAATAATATGACATACTTAACACAGTCCACTCTATAACTGGCTTTGGAATAAAGTATAATATTTCTGTAATAGTTCAAGTTTTAAAAGTGAGTAAAGTTTTCATATCATAATGATATATTTTTTAATACCAGTACAGATTATATAAATCCCTCCTCTATAGGATATAAAATAGGTTTGCAAATATTAATTTTAAACTGATTGATTCTCTATAGCTTTTCTTGCTACTGTATTAATATAAAAATCCGAGTGAGCAAGAATCTCTAATTCATGCTTTAGATTCTGAGCTAACAGAAGAAAACCCTCCTGGGATTTGCATAATATTATAAAATACGCAGGGTGAGCTTTCTACAACATCTCTCACCTACTATGACTTAAGGAGTGACTGAGGAACTATACACCTGGCTCAGATCTGCCTTCTTAAAGATTGGATTAGAATGAGTTCATAGAGAAGATGGGGAAGACAGACAAAGAGAACGTTTTCTTCCTTTATCACTATGCCCAGTAACACTAAAAGAATATAACCAAAGAAACTATAAATCCATGTGTTACAAGACAGTCTAACAGTAGAGACATCACAAACCATAAGTGATTTATCAAAGCATTCCTTCCCCTACACATGCAGTAAGAATGAAAACCTAGTGAACATCAGGGAAAGAGTAATAGGGAGATTGACATTTGAAAATGGCAGAATCTAACAACCTGATAATGCATTAAATCCCATGCCTCTTAGGTGTACATACTAAACTGACAAAGGTAGACACATTGTCTTTATTTCCCCCCTTACTTACTACACTCTGGCTTCCATTTTTCCCAAGTTCTTCCTCTGAAATCTTGCTCAAATTATCTAAGTAGTGATCTGATATTGTGTGGCACAAGTCTTCAAAAGAATAATCCTTTTCTTGACAGAGTTTTATTTCATCCAAGAGTTTTGATAATTCTCCAGTCACGGTTTCACCTATAAGAAGAGAATCATTTTTTCAGGAGTTTCAAGAAAGGCTATTGCTAAAACTTAATGTGAAATAACAAAAATATGACTCCTATAGTAATAGAACTCAAAATATGACAAGCAAGATTAAATAAAAAACAGAAACTATTGTGCTGAAAACAAGGTACTAAACTACAATTAGTATAAGAAAATTAACAGACAAAAGAGATTCCAATTTTGCCTATTTTTATTATTTTTCCAAATAAAAGTGAGGATTAGAAGTTTACTTATGTGTGGTACATAACAGCATCTGGAATTACAATTTCTAAAGCTTCATTTATTATAGGGCTTAATTTTCAATAATCTTTTATTGTCATTTTACTTCACTGACAGAGTTCATTAAATAACTTATTAGCAAATTTAAAATGATGCTGAAAGCCTACTTCCTAAGTTCCATAAACAGAAATAGAACTTATTTAAATTGATAATTATAGAGGTAATTAATAAATTAAAACTATGATATACAAGGGGACTTCAAAAAGGTCATGGAAAATTAAAAGATAAAAATAAAAAATATAAATTTATTTCTCAACATAACCTCCATCAAGTTTATGACACTTTTGTAAGCAATGATCCCACCTATTTAGTCCATCCCTAAAGAACTTAGGGTCCTGGGAATTTAACCATGTCAATGCAGTCTTTTTTACATTATTAACTGAAGAAAAATGGGTGCTCTTTAAAGGTTTTTTAAGATTGAGAAAAAAAGAAAAAAGTCAGAAGCCAAATCAGGACTGTAAAGTACATGCCTAATGATTTCTTATCCAAACTCTCGCAAAATTGTCCTTGGTTTGATGAGAAAAATGAGCAGGAGCATTGTTATGGTGGAGAAGGACTCTCTGGTGAAGCTTTACTAGGCACTTTTCTGCTAAAGCTTTGACTGATGTTCTCCGAACACTCTCATAACAAGATATTATCATTCTTCGGCCTTCCAGAAAGTAAACAAGCAAAATGCCTTGAGCATCCCAAAAACTGTTGCCATGACCTTTGTTCTCGACCAGGCCACTTTTGCTTTGACTGGACCTTTTCCACCTCTTGGCAGACATGGCTTTGGTTATGCTTTGTCTTCAGGATCATACTGATAAAGCCATGTGTCATCTCCTGTTACAATTCTTCAGAGAAGTGCCTCAGGTTCTTGATCCCTCTTGTTTAAAATTTCCATTGACATCTCTGCTCTTGTCTGCAACAGATCTGGATGCAATAGTTTTGACAACCATCGAGCAGAAAGTTTGTTAAACTGTAATTTTTCATTCAGAATTTGTAAGCTGAAGCAACTGACATGTCTATGATGTTGGCTATTGTTTCTGCTGTTAATAATTAGCCCTCTTCAACTAGGGCATGAACAAGATTAATTTTTTTCTTCACAAATTGATGTGGATGTTCTGCTGCTGCAAGCTTCATCATCATCATCATCATCATCATCTCATTCCTTCTTAAAATGAGTTATCCATTTGTAAACCTGCTGCTGCAAGCTTCATCATCATCATCATCATCATCATCATCATCTCATTCCTTCTTAAAATGAGTTATCCATTTGTAAACTGCTGATTTCTTTGGAGTATTGCTCCTATAAACTTTCTGCAAAGCTATCAATGACTTTACCATTCTTCCACCCAAGCTTCACAATAAATTTGATGTTTCTTCTTGCTTCAGTTTTAGCAGTATTCATGTTGCTCTGATAGGGACTCTTTTCAAACTTATGTCTTATCCTTCTTAGTGCCTCAAACTAGATCCTTTTCAGACATGTTATAACAAGTTAGTATAAGTTTGTATTGGTGCAAGAACATCTGAAATCCATGTATGGGTTTTTCATATTATAAATTTTCCATGAATTTTTTGAAGATCCCTCATATGATATAAAAGGAAAACACAGAAGAACAGATAAATAATATCCATCACCTGCCAAAACATAAATATTTTGTAGGTTACATGGAAATATGCAATTTTCTAAACTGTTTCAGAAAGGTACTTTTGACTTATTTTCTGAAAAAAAAAAACTTTTCCAGCAATTACAATCTTGATTTTAACATTTTTATTTTGAATTTAAAACACATTTAAGATCAGTTGACTATATGAATTTATTTCTGGACTCTATTCTGTTTCACTGGCCTATCTGTCTGTTTTTATGCCCTGTTTTGATTACTGTAGCTATTCAACAAAGGTGCCAAGAACACACCCTCAATGTAGAAAGGATAGTCTCTTCAATAAACAGTGCTGAGAAAACTGGAAACACACATGCAGAAGAATTAAACTGGACCCTTATCTCGTACCATATACAAAAATCAACTCAAAATTATCTGAGAACTTAAAGTTAAGACCTGAAATCATGAAACTCCTGGAAGAAAACACAGGTGAAATACTTCATGACGTTGGTCTGGACAATGATTTTTTGAATAGGACACCAAAAGCACAGGCAACAAAAGTGAAAATAGATAAGTTGGACTGCATCACACTGAAGCTGCTGCAAACTGAAGAAAATAATCAACTGAGAGAAAAAGCAACCCATGAAGTGGGAGAAAATATTTGCAAACCATAGATCCAAAATATATAAGGAGGGGCTGGCCCGGTGGCGCACTGGATAGTGCGCCGCTTGGGAAGCGCGGCGGCGCTCTGAAAAAGCAACCCATGAAGTGGGAGAAAATATTTGCAAACCATAGATCCAAAATATATAAGGAGGGGCCGGCCCGGTGGCGCACTGGATAGTGCACCGCTTGGGAAGCGCGGCGGCGCTCCCGCC